TGAGTAGGATTCTGTCTCTCTCTTTATTGACCTCGCTGACTCTCAATGGTCCATCATTGTACCTGTCCCAGTCTCTCAATCACTAGTTTTTACTGTCTCTCCTTCTCTCTCTGTTTTTCTCACAATCTGTTGCTCTACAAATTTTCAGTATCTCTTTTTGAGTCATTGTCTGTTTCAGTTTATCTCTCTGTCTCTTTACACACTCAGCCTTTGTCTTTCAGTCTCTGTCTCTCCATCAGACTGTCAACTCTCATTGCCTTTCTCCCTCAGTTTCTCTGTTAATCTTTCAGTTTTTCTGTCAGTCTCCCAGATATTTGTCTCACTCTCTTTATCTGCCTTTCTTAGTCTCTTTTCAATTAGTTTATCTATTTTTTTACTCTCTCTCAGTTTTGCTATCCCTCTTTTGGTCTTTTCCCATGTACATTTCTTAATCTCTTTCAGACGAGCTTCCTGTCTCTCCCTCAGGCACTTTCTGTATTAGTTTTACAACCTCTTGCTTCATGCCCCTCTATCTCTCACTGTATTGTCGGTATTTTTCCAGTTAATCTCTCTTTCCGTCTGTGCTTTTTCCCTGTCTGTCTCCCTCCCTATCAGTGAATCTCTCAGTTCCTCTCTCACTGTCTATATTTTCCCAGTTATTTTATCTCTCTCCCTCCCCGCCCCCCCCACCCATCTCCCTCCCCTTCCCCCTTTCACCCCATCCCCCCCAACCTATCTCTCTCCCCGCGCCCCCCAACCTATCTCTCTCCCCGCGCCCCCCAACCTTTCTCCCTCCCTCAGGTGTCTGACTTTCTCCCTGTGAGTGTATCTTATACTCTCTCTCGCTGTCTGTATTTTCCCAGTCAGTTTATTTCTGTCTCCCCTCCACCTGTCTCTCTCCCAGTGAGTGTATCTCGGTTAATTTCCCCCTTCACCCCACCTTGTCTGTCTGTCTCTCTCCCCGTGAGTGTATCTCTGTCACTCTCTCGCTGTCTGTATTTTCCCAGTCAGTTTATCCCTCGTTCTATCCCCTCCCCAACCTGTTTCAACCCCCCACCATCTCTCTCCCTCCCTCCCTGTGTATCTCTCAGTCTCCCTCTCACTGGCTATATTTTTCCAGTTAGTTTATCTCTCTCTCCTCCCAAACATCTGTCTGTCTCCCAGTTAGTTTATATATCTCTGTCCCCTCTGTCCACCTGTCTGTCTCTCCCTCATTGTAAGTATGTCACTGTTAGTTTATATCTCTCTAGCCCCCACCTCTGTCTCTATCCCTGTGTTTATCTCTCAGTCTCTTTCTCACTGTCTGTATTATCCCAATTAGAATATCTCTGTCTCACCAGTATTCTGTCAGTCTGTCTCTCCCTGTGAGTATATCTCAGTTAGTTTATATCTCACCCGCCCGTGTCTCTCCCTGTGAGTATATCTCAGTTTATATCTCTCCCCCTGCCTGTGTCTCTCCCAGTGAGTATATCTCAGTTAGATTATATCTCTCCCCC